ACCCTGTGAAATCAAGTCGGCGTCCACAAGGGACCACGAAGTGCTAAGACACTGCTTAGTGTGACTTCTGGATGTCATTTTAAAACCAGACGCTCAGGTCTCCTATGTGATCGTTAATAGGTGGTCAACACTCGTGCAAAAACAGAATGAGCGAGGAACTTACCTGTTTTTACACTGAGCAAAGTAATACCTTGTAGTGCCACACGTCCTTTGGTCCCCTTTCCCTTTCCAGATAGGGATAGACCAAACCCCTTCCAGTTTCAGGGGGAATGGGTACCAAGTCTCCAAAACGTGCACAGACAGGATGCATGCAAACCAAAGATTATGGCTTCTCCACCCGCCTTGTCAACAACTCCTGCAGCAATCCCACAGACACCACCAGCCTTTCCACTTTCAGCTATAGGACAATGCCTTCTAGCCTCATTCAAGGAAGGTTGCCGGGTACCTCACTGATGGTGGATCAGGGAGTTGTGAAAGACGGGGGGTGGATCTACCCTAGACAGTTGACTCAAGTACTCAGCCCAGACGGGACCTATACCACCAGGGCTCTGACAAAATGCGACCATCCTATGCTATCACGGAGCCCGATTGAGAGATGGGACTTTGATCGGAGTTCATTCATGGGCTCGAGAAAGCAAGGGTCGAAGGTCATTTTTGGGCAAAATGGACCTTCAACTCTCACGATTTATTGCCTAATGTACCTCTCTTTGTTCAACTCTCAAAAAGAAGAGGCCCCTGCAGAGAGAGACAGCTCCTGTGCAAAGACATGGTTATCATCCAGTCCGGGACAGCACAAACTCAAACTCTATAGTGTGCAGTGTCTCGTATGAGACTAACACACCTCCTTCGGCCGAGGTCGGACCCCAAGGCACTCCTCGGCAGCGACCGAGTCCTCGTTAAAGGTATCCCACAGTCAAGCAGTGGTCCGGTGAGAGTACCAAGCACTTCCAAAAAGATTTTAGATTGCCATGGCATACTCCTGCGACCCTCCTCGTCACTCTTAGCCTTCGAGTGGAACACCTGTGGGGCCATCTGGGCTGACGTCCTAGCTCTGAGGCGGAGACTTAGTTTGCGACAACAAGTCTGTGGTCGGTAGCAAAGAACTCAGCACTCCTAAAAACTCTACAGTTCTGAAGGATCCTCCAGCGAGTATCCACGAGAATATGGTCGATCTCTTTAGCTACAACGCCAGTATTGGAGTACCAAGTCCAGCGGTGTAGATCTTGTCTCTGGTACCACGAGCCTGCAATCCTCAGCCTCCTAGATCTTGCGAAACCTAAGAGGTATGAGCTATTGATGTTCCTAGTACCAGAGCCATAGGGACCGATGCATAGCTCGTATCCTTCCCTGTCAGTGCCAGTGACTGCATTGAAGTCCTCCAATACCATGAGGATTTCCCCCCCGGGACATTGATCCACTATAGAGTCAAGTTTGGCGTAGAACATCTCTTTCTCTTCAAGCCCACTTCCCTCAGTAGGAGCGTAAACTGCAACTAGAGATATGAAGCCTAAAGTGTGCTTCATTCTCACAAGCAGAATATGTTCGTCAACAGGGGTAACCTTCTTGATTGAGGAACGGAAGCGGTCAGAGACAGCCACCGCGACTCCCCTAAGGCGCGCACCATTGCTACAGCCAGACCAGTAGTAGGTATAACCCCCACTACTGGTCTCACCAAAACCAGGCCGTCGCACCTCAGAGAGAGCAGCAATGGCAATCCCCAGCCTCCCCAGCTCCCCCAACAACAAAGGCAGTCGATCATCCTCCGAGAGACTGAGGATGTTCCAGGCCACTACACGGCAAGCTCGCCGCAGACTGACACCATTTGTGGGGCTCCGGCCGGGCGATGCCTCGGCACAACCAGGCATGCCTCCCAAGGAGGCATATATATATATATAAAATATATATATATATAAAACATATATATATATAAAATATATATATAATATATATATATAAAATATATATATATAAAATATATATATAATATATATATAAAATATATATATAATATATATATAAAATATATATATAATATATATATAAAATATATATATATAAAATATATATATAAAATATATATATAATATATCACACACACACACACACATAATTATGGGTATATAAATATACACATTTATATATTATTCATATAAGTTTTCCATCACCATACCTGAGTGGAATGACATCCCAATGGCCATTCTTGTGACGAAAAATTCCTTGTACTTAATAGTAAGTGGGACAAGTAACAGGTCTGCAAGCTGTCTCGGTGTCATCATGGGAAACCGAACAAATTTCATTACCTGTAAAATTTAAGAGAGAATTTCAAATTCATAGAACAACTATCCTCAATCATCCAAAATAAAACCATGTACATGAATGGTCAATGTTTCATAGTGTAAGATTTAAAATGTAACAAAATGGAGACTGCTTACTTAGGGGTTAAAAACACCTGCCTATCAAATCTACAGTACATTATCTCTATGTTTCATTATAATTCTTGCCTCCTAATTGTATCTTTTAACTTGTTTGTGGGCTTTAATCAAAGATAATATTGGGAAGATTTCTCAATTAAATTCTAGGACTTTGTCTAAGAAGACAGTCAGTAATTCAGTCTGTGGAGACGAAAATGCCAAATACACTTACCCTCTCTTTACGGGTGGGGTGGGGAGGACTGTCTCTTGTATAAATCTTATCCATTTGTCATATTCTTAATGACTCAGATAATTTTTGAGAAAAGTCAAAAACCATGATACACAGAGATTCAGTTGTACTTATGATCACAAAGAAGTCCACACTCATACATACATACGCATACACCCTCTAGCACCAACCCACCCACCTCATATGTGAGCCATTCCATGCGATCAACTGGATCAGTACAAGAACTGGCAGTGGAGTCCCGCCGGAGGTAGAGCTTCCCACACGACGGAGTGATGGACATGGGTGGTGGAGGGATGAAGACACCCTCCAGGGCTGAGCTGCTACTCTGGGGAACGAAGGAAGGGGGTGGCTCACCAGGGGTAGCCACTGGAGTTGGCAGAGACAGTCGCTCCTCTTGCCGGTGGAGCCACGACACTACGATGCTGCAAGAAGGTAAAAAATGGGACAATATTATGGGACAAATATTTACAGTAATAATAATCTTGGTATTAAAGATAATAATAAAGTATGCCTTCAAAATACAAAGCAATTGTAGATTCTAGCAAAATAAATTAAATTAAGTCAAAACAGTTAAGATAAAAGGAAAACAGATGCACACTCATACATATATGTCTAAACACACACACACACACACACACACACACACAAAAATAGAGAGAGAGCACCCACTTGTATAGCGTCATCTCATCATGAATAACAAGGTCATGCTGTGCAAGGACCGTGGTCAGGAGGTCAATGTCACATGATGCAAAGTCTTCTCTCGCTGCCACCTGTTCAAAATTCCACTTGAGGTGGTTCAGGCACACCTGTGCAATTTCTGAATGGCCACAAGTGAGTGTGTACTCAAGCCACGCAATCAGGTAATTCTGCTGAGATGCTGAGACCACGTGCAGCTTCATGTATCTGCCACAGGTGTCAACTAGGTCCTGGAAAATATGTGGAGATTATCTGGGTGCTTTGAATTAAAACTATTTTTTCAGAGACAGGGGAAAAAAAGAAGGAATCAAATCATTGTTATCTTTGTACAATATATCCTCAGTACTAACTAACTACATTTTTTAATTAATACATTTTTGTATAAATATCAGATAAGTCTAATACAACAAGATCTGTAGTGGCTAGCATCAGGTAAGGTGGCCTTTCTTTAGTCAGTCAAACAGCTGGCCTTGAACTTGATAATGCCATAGCCAACCTTTTTTTGGATAACTTTATGTAATACTCAAAAAAAAAAAAAAGAATGGTACCCCATCTAGAGATAAAAATAACAAATTGAAAAATAAATTGAAAGAGAGAGGGAAGGGAGAGGGAGAGAGAGAGAGAGGGAAGGGAAGGGAGAGGGAGAGAGAGAGAGAGGGAAGGGAGAGGGAGAGAGAGAGGGGGAAGGGAGACAGAGAGAGAGAGAGAGAGAGACGAGAAGGGGGTTCGGAGGAGAAGAGTGACCAGAGAGACTAGCGAGATGGGAGAGAGAGAGAGAGAGGATTGGGGAGATGAGAGTGATAGGAGCGAGACTGAGAGGGGGGTCGGACGAGACAGGCGGAGAGAGAAGATGGGAAGCCGAGGAGCTGAGAGGAGAGGAGAGAGAGAGAGGGTGTGGGAGAAGAGAGGGGAAGGAGAGAGAGAGAGAGAGGGGGGGAAGGAGAGAGAGAGCGGAGAAGAGAGAATGAGACGATGAGACGAGAGAGGTAGAGTCAGATAAAGAGAGAGGAGGAGGAGAGTTTTGAGAGATGAGCAGAGAGATACGAGAAGAGTGAGGCGAGATAGTGGGAGAGCAGAGGAGTCGAGACGGAGGAGAGATGAGACTCTGAGAGAGGCCGAGAGAGAGAGAGAGGGGGGACGGGAGGGGGGGGAGGGAGGGAGGCGAGGGTGGGGTGGGACGGGAGGGAGGAGGGAAGGGAGGCGAGGGAGGGATGGGAGGGCGTGGGAGGGAGGGGCGAGGGACGGGGAGAGAGAGAGAGAGAAGGAGGAGAGAGATAAGGATTTTTTTTTTCTTTTTTTTGCCGGAGAGAGGGAGAGAGAGAAGAGGAGAGAGGGGAGGGAGGGGGAGGGCGGGAGGAGGAGGGAGGTGGAGGGAGGGTGGAGGGAAGGGAGGGAGGGAGGGAAGGGAGGGAGGGAGGGACGCGGACGAGAGAGGAGAGAGAGGAGAGGAGAGTGAGGTAGACGAGGAGACAGAGGTATAGAGATGCGGGAGAGGGAGAGAGAGAGAGAGTGAGAGGAGAAGAGAGAGGAGAGGAGAGAGCGAGCAGATGAGGGGAGGAGCAAGTGGAAGAGAGGAGGAGACGAGGAGAGCTTAGGAGAGAGGCGTGAGGGACGGAGATGGAGAGAGGACGAAGAGAGGAGAGATGAGAGAGGGGGGAAGGGGCGGGGGAGGATGAGGAGAGAGAGAGACGAGAGGGAGATGAGATGAGGAGAGGCTCGTCGAGGAGACCGAGGGAGGGGAGAGAGGCGGGGAGAGGAGGGAGATGCGAAGAGAGAGAAGGGTCTATCGGGAGGAGAGAGAGAGAGGAGAGCGGTGGGAGAGAGAGGAGAGAGAGGGAGAGACGGAGAGAGAGAGAGAGGGAGGAGACGTCGGAGACTGAGGGGGGAGGACAGAGAGAGAGAGAGAGAGAAGAAGAGAGAGAGATAGATAGAGGAGAGAGAGAGAGAGAAAGAGAGAGAGAAACGAGATGAGAGGAAAGAAACCGAGAAAGATGAGAGAGGAAAGAAGAGGGAAGGGAGAGGGGAGAGAGAGAGAGGGAAGGGATGGCGGGTAGAGAGGAGAGGAGAGGGCGGGAGAGAGAGGAGAGAGGGAAAGTGAGAGAGAGAGGGTAAGGGAGAGGGATGAGGGAAGAGAAGAGGGAGAGGGAACGACGAGGGAAAGCGGGAGAGGAGGGAGGGGAGAGAGAGAGAGAAGGGAGAGATGAGAGAGAAGGAGATGAGGAGATGGAGAGACGGAGGACGAGGGGACGGAGAGATGAGAGGAGGGAGCGAATGAGCCTGGATGTAGAGAGCGGGAAGAGAGAGAGAGAGGAGAGTGAAGAGAGAGAGAGGATGAGAGAGAGAGGAAGGGAACGGGAAGGGGAGAGAGAGGGATGAGAGAGAAGAGAGAGAGAGATTGAGAGAGACGTCAGCGAAGGATGAGGGAGGAGAAGAGAGAGAGGGAGGACAGAGAGAGATGGAGGGGGAAGGGAGAGAGGGGAGAGAGAGAGATGAGAGAGAGACGGAGAGAGAGAGAGAAGACGATGCAGCGAGGGTGTAGAGAGAGAGGAGAATGATGGAGGAGAGTGAGAGGTCTAGACGAGGAAGATGAGAGGAGAAGAGAGGAGAGAGAGAAGAAGAGGGGGGGGGAAGGGAAGAGAGAGAGGGGGGGAAGAGAAAAGGAAGAGGAGAACAGACGACGAAAGAAAAGAGAAGAGAGAGAGATAAGATAGAGAGAAAAGAGAGGGTAAGATGAGTAGAGGGGGGGCGAGAGAGAGGGAGAGTGAGGAAGAGGGAGAGAAGAGCGACGAGGGAGAAGAGAGAGAGGGGGGGAAGTGGGAAGAGCGAGAGAGAAAGGGGGGAGAGAGAGGAGTAGGGGATGGGGAGGAAGAGAGGAGAGGGCTGGGAGTAAGTATGAGAGAGGGGGGGGAAGCGGGGAGAGGGGGGGGGATGGGGGGGAGAGCGCGATAGGGGGGGGGAAAGAGAGGGGAAAAAGAGAGACGAGAATCCGAGGAGAAGAGAAAAATGAGAGAAGGGAGAGAGAGAGAGAGAGGAGAGAGGTGAGAGAGCGAGAGGGGGGGGAAGAGGGAAAGAATGAGAGGGGAGAGGAGGGAGAGAGAGATGAGAAGAGAATGGAAAAAACGGAGCGGAGAGAGTGGAAAGATGAGAAGAGACGAAGAGAGAGAGAGGGGGTGGGGGAGAGGGAAGGGAGAGAGAGGAGAGAGAGAGAGAAAGAGGGAGAGAAGAGATGAAGAGAGACGAAGTAGAGAGGAGTTAGATGAGGAGAGGTTAGAGGAGAGATGAGAGAGAGACGAGAGAAGAGAGAGAGAGAGAGGAGAGAGAGAGGGAGAGATGTGAGGGAGATGTGGGAGAGAGGGAGAGGAGAGAGGAGAGAGAGGAGGAACGATCGAGAGAGAGCAGGATGAGGAGGGAGTGGAGAGAGAAGAGAGAAGCGAGAGGAGACGAAGAGGAGAGAGAGAGAGAGTTTAGAGAGAGAGAGAGAGGGAGATGTAGAGAGAGACGAGAGGAGAGGAGGGAGGAGAGGGAGAGACGAGAGGAGGAACTTCAGATAGAGAAAGGACCGCGCGGAGACGACCCGATGGATCTGAGAGCAGCACGATAGGGAGGAGAGAGAGAGAGAGGAGGGAGAGGAGAGAGAGGAGAGTCCGAAGAGGTGAGAGGTAGGGGAGAGATGAGCAAAGAGAGACTGGAAGACGGGAGGGAAGAAGGAACCGGAGAACGTGAGGAGAGAAAGAGAGAGAGGAAAGACGAGAGAGGAAAGAGAGGGAAGGGAGAGTGAGAGAGCGAGAGGGAAGGGAGGAGAGGGATCATGAGAGAGAAGAGAGAGGAGGAAGGGGAGGGGAGAGGAGAGGGGAGGAAGGGAGAAGAGAGAGAGAGAGAGAGAGAGGGAAGGGAGAGGGAAGAGCGAGGAGGAGGAGAGGGGGAAGGAGAGAGAGGACGAGAGCGAGAGCGAGAGAGAGATGGAGAGAGAGAGCGAGGCAGGGAGGGGAGATGAATGAGGCCAGCGAGAGGGCGACGAGTCAGAGAGAGAGAGAGATGAGATGTCAGAGAGAGAGAGATTGAGAGAGAGAGAGAGAGGGGGGGGGGGAGAGAGGGGGGGGGGGGGGGGAAAGAGAGAGAAAAGGAAGACAATAGAAGAGAGGTAAGATAGAGAGGTGGGGGGGGAAGAAGGAGCGCAGGGGGGGGAAGATGGAATGGGGAAAAAAAAAAACAGAGAGAATGGAGGAGAAAGAGAAAGAGAGATGAGAGACAGAGAAGAGAGAGAGAGAGCAAGAGAGAAAGAGAGAAGAGGGGGTGATGGAGGAGATGGAGAAGAAGAGAGAGGAGATAAGGAGAGGGGGAGAAGAGAGGGGGGAGGGGGAGGAGGAGGAGAGAGGAGAAGGAGGGAGAGGAGAGAGACGGAGAGATGAGAGGAGGAGAGGGGAAGGGAAAAGCGAGAGAGAAGGGGGGGAAGAGCGAAAATTGGGGGGAGAGGGAACGGAGAGAGAGAGGGGGGGAAAGAGGAGAGAGGGGAGGAAGAGGGGAGAGGGGGAGGAGAGGAGAGGGGGCAGAGAGACGGGGGGAAGAGGGGAAGACGCGAGAGAGAGAGAGAGAGGAGAGAGAGGGGGAGGAGAGGAGGGGCGAAGGAAAGCAACGGGAGGAGAGAATGATGGAAGGGGGGGAGGAGTGACGAGGGGAGAGAGAGAGGGAAGACGAGGGAGAGAGGGATGAGAGAGAGGAAGGGGAAGGAAGAGAGAGGACGAAGAGGAGGCAGTGATGCAGAGGAAGAGAGGAGAGGAGACGGAGAGTGGAGAGAGAGAGAGAGAGAGAGAGAGTGAAGACGGGGGGAGGGCGGGTGACGTGAAGAGAGGGAGGAGAGGAGTGCGAGGGAGAGAGGGAGAGCGGGAGGAGGGGAGAGAAGAGGGGAGGGAGGAGAGAGAGATGACAGAGGGGGGGGGAAGAGGAGAGATGGAGGAGAGAAGAGGAGCAAGAGGAGGGGAGAAGAGAGGAGAGAGAGGAAGATGGGAGAGAGAGACAGAGAGCGGAGAAGAGATGAGAAGGAGACGATGAGAGGGGGGGTGGGGGGGACGAGTAGAGTGGCGGGTTGGGGGAGGAGAAGAGGAGAGAGAAGAGGGAGGAGAAGAGAAGAGAGATGAGAGAGATGAAGGGAGAGAGGAGAGAGAGGGGGCGAGAAGAGAGAGGAGAGGAGAGGGAACGAGAGAGAGAGGAAGGGGAGAAGAGACCAGAGAGGAGGAGGTAGGGGAGTGGAGGAGAGAGAGAGAAGACGAGAGATGAGAGAGAGAAGAGGGAGAGAGAGGATGGAGAGGGTGAGAGAGATGAGAGGCGAGACGCAGGGAGATGAGAGGGGGGGAGAGAGAAGAGGGGAGAGGAGAGGAAGAGAGAGGAGGAGAAAGGAGAGAGAGAAGAGAGAGAGAGGGGGGAGGAAAGAGAGAAGAGAAGAGGGAGAGAAGAGAGGTGCGCGAGAGGGAGAGAGGAGAGGAGATGCGGAGAGGCGGGGAGGAGAGAGCGAGAGGAGGAGAGAGAGGTGAGAGAGAGAGAGGAGAGAGAGGGAGAGGGAGGAGAAGAGGAGGGAGGAGAGAGAGAGAGAGAGACAGACTGAAAGAGAGAGAGCGGAGAGAGAGGAGGAGGAGAGATGAGAAGAGGAAGGGGAGAGCGGAGAGAGAGATGAGAGAGAGAGGAGAGAGAGAGACGGAGGGACGCGAGGAGGAGAGAAGAGAGGATAGCGGAAGAGAGGGAGAGAGAGAGAGGGGTGGGAGCAGAGGGCCAGAGGGGGGAGAGGGGAGAGGGGATGAGGAGCGAGAGAGGGAGAGAGAGAAGGAGGGAGAGAAGGAGAGAGAGAGGGAGAGACGGGAGAGGAAGAGAGGGGAGAGAGAGAGAGAACAGAGAAGACGCGCTGAAGAGGCGAGGACAGAGAGAGGAGGAGAAGACGAGAGCAGAAGAGGAGCGAGAGAAGAAAAAGAGCGAAAGAGAGGAAAAGAGAGAGAGAGAGAGAGATGAGACGCGGAGAGAGAATGTGAGAGAGAGAGTGAGAGAAAGAGATTGAGCGAGGGGGGGGGAAGAGATGGAGGAGAGAGAGAAGAAGAGAGGAGACGGGAGAGCGAGAGGAGGAGACATGAGGTAGAGAGGATGAGAAGGAGGACTAGGGTGAGGAGAGGGAGAGGAGAGAGAGAGAGAGGAGATGGAGGAGAGGAGGAGAGGGAGGGGAGAGAAGGAGAGAGAAGAGAGGAGAGAGGGAGAAGAGAGAGGGAGAGTGAGGAGAGAGAAAGAGATGAGAGAGAGAGACACGGAGGAGGAGCGGGCCGAATGCGAGAGACATGAGAGGAGATGAGAGGGGACGATGAGCGAGAGAGAGGAGGAGGAGAGAAGAGGGAGGAGAAGAGAGATGAGAGGAGGGGATGAGGATGAGGGGAGTGGGAGAGAGAGCAGAGAGGGAGGGGCGGGAGAATATGAAACGAGCGGAAGGTGAGAAGAGGACGAGGAGGAGACGAGAGTGGGAAGGGAGGACGGAGGGAGAGCGGGAGGGAGGGGCTGGGGAGGGAGAGAGGTAGGAGTAAGAGGAGGGGAGTAGGGAAAGGAGGGCGGGGTAATGGAGGCGCGGAGAGGAAGGAACGAGGGAGGGAGAGGGAGAGGAGAGGAGTAGGAG